TTATTATTAAAATATTTTTTAATGTTTTGAGGTTATTACTGTCACTATACATTTAATGTTAGTTATAATAAACTGACATTCGTTCCTCACAATATTGGACTGTTACAGAATCTAGTGACACTGGATGTTAGGTAAATGGCAGTACATGTACATGTACATGTACATGTACATGTACATGTACATGTATTTGCCATATTTTACTTCAGTTTATTAGAGTAGTCTGTGTCAATTCATGCAATCAAATTTACCTCATGTATATGTACACATACTCTAATGTATTCAGGGTTTCCCACAAAGCATGCTAAGTGAGCTAAACAGCATGAGCTTCATGAGCTGACAAGCACTACAATACAGTACATTGCATTTGGAGCAACTTTATTTTTAGAAATTCATAAAAAATTCATTTTCGATTGGAATCAACCCAAACTTGCTAGGAAGCATAAGTACATGTATATGTATCAAAAAAATTATAAAAACAAAAAATTCTCTCCTAGTCATTTTTGGCGAAATTTGACCAAAATCCCTGTACTATAGTACAGGGACTTTTGTCCAATTTTTGAGCAACTTTAAAAATTCATTAAAAAATCCAATTTTGATCAAAACCAGCTCAAACTTTCTACGCAACATAAGTACATGTATACATATCAGGAAAAATTATTAAAATGGAGAATTCTCACCTTGTCATTTTTGGCAAAATTTGGCCAAGGACCCTGTACTATGCAAAAGTCGTGGCAGCCATTTTGTTTGGGGGTAAATCCTACTTAGTAACACTACCGCATTACTAATTATAGTACAGGGACATTTGTCCAATTTTTGAGCAACTTAAAAAATTCATAAAAAATTAGTTTTGATTGGAATCAACCCAAACTTGTTAGGGAACATAAGTACATGTATATGTATCAGAAAAAAATATTAAAAAAAGAATTCTCTCCTAGCCATTTTTGGCAAAATTTCACCAAAATCTTTGTACTATAATCCCTGTACTATAGTACAGGGACTTTGGCCAGGCTTTTGAGTAACTTTAAAAACTCATACAAAATTCA